GATACCAAAAGATTGAGATTATTCCCTGGATATTCTCAGACCACAGTGCTTTGAAATTGGAACTCAATCACAAGAAAAAAATTGGAAGGAATTCAAACACTTGGAAGCTAAACACCATCCTGCTTAAGAATGTTTGGGTTGACCAGGAAATTAAAGAAGAACTTAATTCATGGAAACCAATGAGAATGAAAACACATCGGTCCAAAACCTATGGGATACTGCAAAGGTGGTCCTAAGGAGGAAATACATAGCCATCTAAGCCTCACTCAAAAAAATAGAAAAATCCCGAATATACACGCTAACTTTACACCTTAAAGAAATGGAGAAAGAACAACAAATAAAGCCTAAGCCAAGCAGGAGAAGAGAAATAATAAAGATTAGAGCAGAGATCAATGAATTAGAAACCAGAAATACAGTAGAGCAGATCAACGAAGCTAGAAGCTGGTTCTTGGAAAGAATTAATAAAATCGATAAACCACTGGCCAGACTTATCCAAAAGAAAAGAGGAAGGACCCAAATTAACAAGCTCAGACTTTCCAGCCTCACCCTCCACCAGATCTTTGACTAAGGAAGCAATTCGAGAAAGAGGTATTGAGTGCTTAGCATGCACCAGGTTCTGCGTTAGGAACTCTCACCTATTTATATGATTCTATCCTCATAACAATATCTTGGACATCATTCTCTAGATAAAGGATATTCAAGGTTAGAAAAGTTAAACAACATGTCCAACATAATCCCCTCATCCATTCCTGACTCTCAATGCCCTGGTCTTGGTTCAATGCCCCTGCTGGTCCCAGCATCCTCACCTCTAACCCCACTCCGCCCAATCATTGTTCTCCAAACACGCCCCCCTTCATTCCTCCATGCCTCTCCTTGGCCTGAAATGACCCATGCAGACTTCCTACCCATGCAAGTCCTACTCATTTCTTCATGTTTCTGCTCAATTTTCACCTCCAACCTAAAAGATCAAGACTCAAGCCCCAATCAGGATGAATCACTCTCTCCTTTATTCTCCTAAGGCCTTGTTTTGCACATGACTCACACAATGTATTGCATGTGACTTGTATTATGTTTTTCCTTTTACTAGATCGGGGACCATGCTTTGTTCATCTATGTATCTCCTCAAAACACCTAATACAGTGCACTTAATGCAAACTCAATAAATGTTGAATGAACCCAACATATTCTCATTGACTTTTGTTTTTTATCATTTTGGTGGGAAGATAGGAGAACATCCGTAACCTTCAAATTGGCACAAAATGTTGGGGAAAAGCATTTTTTCTCCTTAAAAATATAGAAAGAGCTCTACAGCTCCAAGCATGTGATAAGTCTCAAATCTGAGTGTCCCAACTCTATTATAGAACGTGGTGATGCTACTACACTCCATGAAAAGATTATTTTTAGATTTTGGTCTAATTGACGAACAGAACCAAATATTCGATAATAAAGGAGCACGCTGACAAACCAGGACAGAGATAAAAAATACTGAAGGAAAGAAAGATACTAGCAGAAAAGCATCTACCTGAGGTGGATTAAGATGAGGAGCCAGGGATATGCTTCGGGCTTCAGAGCTTCTGGATGGGGGAACACTTGGTGCATCAGTGTTAATACGGGAAATGAGTATCAGTGGAGATTTATTCTCAGCTACTTTCAATTTTTCTTTTTGTTTCTTTCCTTCTGTGTCAACAACAAAAAAATTAATATTATTAGGAAACACGTTATCAAATATATATACATAAAATTCACTGTTCAAAGAGAATCTTTGTTTTTGAGTTATCGTGAGTCTGCTATGGCCACTGAACCCTGCATAGAGCAGAGACCCCACAGAGCCATTGGCTGATATGATGCTTTCCATACACACATGCCTATCATTTCAGTGGTAGGTAGAAAACTAGGGATTATACGCTGGGGCAAGAAAAATTCTTGGTATTTTATAATATCCCAATTAACCCCTTTGGTTGGAAAAAGAATATATTTAAATTAACATGAGCAGTACCCTATTGTACAAACTGATTCCATAACATTAGCCATTAACATCTACCACAGACATTTCTAGGATTTGTTTCTTCTCAATTTCAAGTAGTTAAGAGAACACTTTATAAGGTTAAATGAAGTGATTATTAAATTATCTATGTTTCTATTTTGCTTTACAAATAAAGTCATAAACAATTAAAAACCGATCTCCCATTATTAGAGAAGTTATCCTATTATTAGAGATTTTTAAAGTGACTTTAAGCTTCTTTCTTGTGCATTTCTATGTTATTGTTCCAAAGTGCATATACATTTTTTTTAAAGATTTTATTTATTTATTTGACAGAGAGAGACACAGCGAGAGAGGGAACACAAGCAGGGGAACAGCAGGCAGAGGGAGAAGCAGGCTCCCCGCCGAGCAAGGAGCCCGATGTGAAGCTCGATCCCAGGACCCTGGGATCATGACATGAGTCGACGGCAGACGCTTAACGATTGAGCCACGCAGGCGCCCCATTTTTATAACTCAAAATAATAATAATGTCCTTTTTGAAGGGATTCAAGATCATTTATGAATAAGGGGAGAAAACCTACTTCTCTTCTCACTCGATCATATCCTAGGTGTGGCCAAGTTGGGTGGAGACACAAAGCTGAGCAACGGGGGTCTTTTTTTTCTTTCCATTAGGGCCAAATGCTACAAATAAGTACCTGTGAGTGTAACTTCCCAATTTTTTCTGATCAGCTCTTCCAATATCTCTACGACACTTGTCCAGATGTGATCAAACACTTCTGCAGCCACCGCATCTTTGATACAGTCATGAGGAGAAAGGGGAGGAAGTCCATGTTTCTGCCACATCCTATGGCGGTGAGCTGATTTTTGTTCAAGACATTCATCATCACTAAGAACAAAACCCATTGTAATTACTAAAAGTATCAATGGTTAAAGTTAAAATAGTACTATCCAACTACTTGTCTCTCTCTCTCTAATATGTATGCACATGTACATTATATGTGTATAAACATAACATTCTTTTTTAACAGCACATTGTTACTTTTTAATGTATCCATTTTCAATCACAGGCAACTTTTATTATTCAATATTTGTAGCTCTTTTCAAAGAACCAATTTAAGTCTCTGTATTTAGTGCAGAGACTGGGCCTTCCCTTTGTCTTTCTAGAAGGGCAGCCTGGAGTCCTCAGGGAATGAAGGCTACTAGGAGCCTCGTCCACTTTCACCAGCATGCTGAACACAATTCTTGTTTTCTAGCTGTGCCATGTTGTCAAAAAAAAGGCGGGGGAGGGAAGCACTGATCTAGCAAAGACATATCCTGCTAGGAATTGAAAAGCTTTTGGAAGCATATTACTCTCAAAAGAATGGAAAATCTTTTGGACACGTAAAAAATATAGAAGACACTAAATGAGCAAATAATCAAAATAAAGGCCAAGTAAATTAATATAATTACACTAAGTCAATGTTAAATAAATTCCACTTACTCTTCTTTTCTGTCAAAAGCAAAATATTCTTCAATCTTTCCATCCACGTCATAAACCTCTTCTTCCTGGGGTGAGCCTGCCGTTAGGCCAGCAACCTTTGGGCCCTCGGGGCCTGCCAGGGCAGGGGCTGAGCACATCTCAGGGAGTATTTGAGAGCCAGAGATGCACAATCTATGGGGAGAAGCAGATCCTCCATGAGAGTTTGTAGAACGTCAAGACTATAATGCTTGCATGATTTTGGTGAGTCTTTAAATTATCCATAAAGTACAGAATCCCAAACAAAAAAAATCATTGCTTAAAAATTTGATAAAATCATATCCTTAAAAGCAACATTTTAACACAGGCATCATTGAAAATTTTTAAGGGCCTCTTAAAAGCTTAAATTACTCGATGAGTTTGCATCCCCTTTGCTGTAATAAAATGATGTCATGGCATAGTCCCAAATATGTGTGACTGGCATAGAGGGATTTATCAAAAGAAAATGGGATAGAACTTTAGTTCTTCTGCTATTGAGCTGGAGCTTAGGATGCATCACAAGGGAGTCAGTTTTTTGATTTTTCATCTGGCCCACCTTTCAGAGTCTTTGAAACAACAGTTCAAAAGTTAACTTCCTTGTTATCTGTATTACACACACTCATCATCATCATCATCAATCTAGAATCAGAAGCATCTTGGGAAAAAAGTGCTCTGTACCTGCCCTTCACTGAAATCTAAGCTTCCAAACCAGTGGAGCCAAGGCTCATGGCTAAGACAGACATGAAAAATTTAACTGAAATGAAATTAAAAATACTTTCAAAAGTTACTTATAGGAACCTACTCTCTGCTGTTGCGGTTGTGTCCACAGGCATCTAGGAAGGGTTTGTGGACCACAGTACTAGGCTCACTGCCCTGGAAATGTTGGAACCCTTCATCAGTTGGCACGATGAGCTGTCTTCCTAATACTCTGCAAGGTAAAAAAAGAAAAAAAAAAAAAAGGAACTTACTAATATTTTTGATTGGAAAAAGGAAAAATTCTTTGCGACGCTTAAAGTCAGATAACACCATATTTTGAAGGCGCATGTATGAAGTGATAAGGAACATACTGGTATGTGAGAAGCACAATGGTGTCAAAGAGAAAGTGTAGGCTTTGAGGGAGCGGGACAGACTGTTCTCGCTACTGACAAAGAGATCTGAGGCAATGTTCTCAGGCTCTCTAAGCCACCGATTTCATCTGTTTGCTCTTTGTACACGAGATATAACCATAGTTACCGGGAGGACTGATGAGTGGTTTAGAGATAACATGTACCAGATTCAGACAGCTAGGGTAACGCTGGGCACACAGGAGCTCTCTATAAATGTTCACTAATATTTACATAATGAATAAAACTATACAAATATATATACCCGGCTTATATTCTTTGCAGTCTTTTCTTTTTTTAACTTTTTTTTTAATTTTAGATTTTATTTATTTATTTGAGAGAGAGAGAGAGAGAAAGAGAGCAAGCATGAGCAGAGAATGCAGCAGAGGGAGAGGGAGAAGCAGACTCCCCGCTGAGCAGGGAGCCCGATGTGGAGCTCGATCCCAGGACCCTGGATCATGACCTGAGCCGAAGGCCGACGCTTAACCATTGAGCCACTCAGGCGCCCCTCCTTGCAGTCTTTTCTTTTTCCACCCTCCCCTCCTTCATTTTTATCTTAACTATATAAGACAAGAGGGACAGGAGCAGGTCTGAGGTCCTGGCTTTTTGGTAAGTGCCCCATGCCTAAAAAGTAAGCATCCACAATTAATACTAGGTGGACGTATTATACTCTTCAAGACGAGGGCTTATGGAGGACTGAATAGAAAGATTTAAAGACTACGTAGCCAAGATTTTTTTTTAAGTTACCTAGTTGAGGTAACCAGAAAATCCATCTACATTTGTATGAGGGCTCTAATCTATTCTCCCCATACAATATAGAGGAACTTCTGATAACGGAAATCCTAAGTGGATTTGGCCGAATCACTGAGAGAAGAAAAGCTTTCCTTCAGACCCAATCTATATTTTCCATCTTTGATATGAAAAAATAAGTGATCCTGGGGCACCTGAATCAGTTAAAGGTCCAACTCTTGATTTCAGCTCAGATCTTAGATCTCAAGGTCATGAGTTCAAGCCCCACACTGGGCTCCTCACTGGGTGTGGAGTCTACTGAAAAAAGATAAATTAAAAAAACAATAGCAATAAATAAATAATTACATACATACATACATACATAAAATCCCAGAGGGATTAAAAAAAATAAGTGATCCTTCCTACATAAGGAATCTTGGTTAGTTAGGAAGATTCATCTATCCAATCATTCATCAAATAATTACTCTGTTTCTCTCCCAACCCTGACCCCAAGTACTGTCCTCAGCTCTGAAGACTGATGTGTTGTTCACATACTAGTGAATGTGAAGGTAAAGGATCACTTCTACCACTCTTGCATTTGTTACATATGTAATGCCCTTCTGAAAATGAGCTAGATTTGTTTCTCACAAGTTAAGACGCACTTGGGTATCTGGAATGTCCCAATATTTCCTCAGACACCATTTCAAAAGCTGTGCTTTCTTAGTAAAGACATGTGTTCTGGATACATATTTTGACTGGGCAACTGCTTTCAGTCAAAATATACTAACTGTATTAAATGGGCCAGGAGTGGGTGTTTCCAGAACGCATTTCAGAGAGTTACCATGAACAACTTCCCTACCTCAGATGGAGGGATCTTTTCGCCCACTCACTGCATTCGGCCACTAGATTCTGAGTATGAGGGCTTACTTTCCCTTCAAATAACATTTCCTCCACCTCCCAGAATAACTGCTGGACTTTCTCTGCGTTCGCCTTGTCAAACTCCTAAAACAGAAAAATGCACATTTAGTTACAAGACTAAAAGTTGTAGAAAGACGGCCTTCACGATCATTAACACTTACAGATTTAAAGTGCCCTTTATATAGGAAGAAATATGATGTGATAACAAGAATGTGGACTTTGCAGTCAGACATACCAGTGGCCCAATTTTTACTCTTCTGAGAAATTACATCCCACTGGGAGACTCAGCTTCTGTAACTGTTAAATAGAGATCATTTCTACCACATGCGTTATGAGACTTATTTGAGATTTTAAGTAGATATAAATATAGGTAAAGGTACACATATTGACAGGCATTGATATACTCACATGTACACATACCTATATATCCATATGTATACATGTACATATATGTACACAGACATAAGTCCCTCATATAGTGAGCGTAACACACTTAAGCACAGCTGCAAAATACCAGCTAGTTTTTCTTCTGATGGTATCACTGAAAAGGAAAATGACTTTTATACAAAGGGCCATTTACCTTCTTTTAATGAAGAGCCCTGGCTATATTTTCTTTTAGGGGAATGTGAACCTAAAATCTAATCCACAACTCAGAGCAATAAAGTGCACACTCATTTTGACATACCTGATCCAAGATGGTCAAACCGGATTGATTTTCATAGAATGATACTCAGTATTTTTTTTTGTTTTGCATCTTCTCTTAAATTGATAATAAACCAGATTCCCAGACAACGGGGGAATTGAATGATCTCTTTTAAAATGCAAATCAGGTAAAAACTAAGAATTTTTGCCTCTCGGCAGGCAACCAGGTGGCTGAGGAGAGTAAAAGGGCTTACTTTCAATTTCCTCTCTTTTGGCTTTTGTTGCTTTTTGCAAATATGACCTATCAAAAAAGTAAGTTAAAGTTTTTAAATGAAAAGCAATTGTAGGGCCTTAAGTCATTTCAGTTCTATAAATGAAAGTCACAAGACTCTCCACAGAATTACGTAAAAACGTGTACTGAAAGAATCGCAGGATTGGGACGGTATGAAGCGATGGTCCTCAGCCTTCTTCCCACCTGCAGACGCTGGAGTGAGGGTGGGGACTGTTTATCACAGGTGAGCCAGGCCCGCCCTGTTGGAAAAGGCCTGAATGGTTTGGAGCTGACGCCTTCCAGGGTCCCTCCCACTGCTGTGAGAAGCCCAGCTACTACACAGCCCCCATCCGAGGAAGTGGACCCACGGGTGCCTTCCAAATGGCCAACTGCTTTCAAGACAGCAAAGGAAACAGCACACACACCAAAAAAGAGCTGGAGTCAGAGCATCCAAGGTAATGTAGTCGACTTCCTTGCATGGCCACGTGGGCTTCACAAAGGGCTGGGTCCCTGTTCTCAGCGGCACTTGAGGGAATAGAGACAGGCTGGCAGAGTGCCCAACAAAGCCTGAGCTGGACACTCTGGTCCACACAGCTAAGAATCCCACTCCCGCAGAGGACAAAAATAGCGTTCAAGTTAACAGCTTCTGCTAGGGTGAGAGGTGAAAGAAAAAGATCTGATTTAGAATATTGGGGGGAAACTCCCCTAATCACGGTGATTTTGTACAATTTTTACTTCTCCACGTTTTTCCTGGTATTTAAGTTGCTCATTGTCAAAGTCTGTCCTGAATTTCCAGTCTCGGATAGGACGGAAGTGATCATATACAACATACGGAGGGGGAGGGGTTGGGAAGTGGGGGAAAAACCAAAAGTATCAACAGCTACGACTCTGGGTTATGAGATTGAGTGATTTTTATTTTTCCTTATCTTTTCTATATTTTTAAATTTTTCCATGATGTGACATGTAAACACGCTCATAGGGATGTATGTGTACGTGTCCAATAGGTAATGCTTTCAAAGGTGGTAAAAAGATGATTTAAAAGTAAGGAAGCAATTCATTACAAATTGTAATCACGGAATTATACAAAAGATGCTGAGACATACGTCATCTCTCCAAGAGTAAATGGAGCTCCTCTCAGTTGATAAGCCAGTGGTAAAACTCTGTGTCCCAGACCGAGACCAAGAGTTGTGGGTCCCTGCAGGCATGGTGCTGCCACTGGATGTAAATGATGACCCAGGTTCACTGCAGAGACAAACGCAAGCCCATAAAGACCATTTCCTGGGAAGAGATTAAACTGGAAGTGGTTTTACTTCTTAGAGCCGATTCTAAAACTGGGTTTTTTTTAAAAAAAGATTTTATTTATTTATTTGACAGAGAGAGAGATAGCGAGAGCGGGAACACAAGCAGGGGGAGTGGGAGAGGGAGGAGCAGGCTTCCCGCCAAGCAAGACCCTGGGATCATGACCTGAGCTGAAGGCAGATGCTTAACCGACTGAGCCACCCAGGCGCCCTTAAAACTGATTTTAAAACATTCGTGCAGTGTAACATTTCATTACACTAAAAATGAAACTTTTTTTTTTTTTTTTTTTTACTCTTAGAAATGCAATCACTGATATCGCTTCCTATATTCATTATGGGCATGTTTTGATTTTGCAATCAGAAGCATTGCAGCGCGTTCATTCTTACCAGGTATATTTATCAATGGCTTTCTGCACATTGCTTGTAAAATGTGTAGGTAAAGGATCTTTGCTTTTCACAGCCAAACTTTGCTTTCCAGATCCTTCTGATAGTCCTCTTCTGAAAAATAAAATATGAAAAGTATCTCTAATGTAATAATTTTATTCATGAAAATTTTTAAAATGTCCTTCTGCATAAAGTTGCTCCTCTCCTCTTGCCATGCCCCCCGAAACACACATGTGCGCATGCACACACACACACCACATATCCTCAAGAAACTGAGGCATGGGACCTTACCATTCTTATTTTTCTTAGAACAAGTTTGCCATGAACCTACATGCCCCTTTATGTAAAACGGAAAACAACAACAACAACTTTTCTATGACTTGGCCAGACTCGTAAAAGTTGCCCAAAACTCTGGGCAGACACAGCCTCGCTCCGAGGCAAATGCAACATGAGCTGGACTTCAGGTCCCACTTGTCCTTTGACCAGTGTCCAGTGCCCTTGTGATTACAAAAGCAACTAGCCTTCCAGGAGAAAAAAAATCAATAATTCCATATTAATTCTGAAATATATTAAATTCTCTTTAGTCACCAAACACATGAATGAATCAAAAAAATGACTGAAACACACAAACAATAACTCATTTTAATTTCGCACCATTGTTTGGTTTGTAGCCTGATGTGTAGAGAGTTTTAAAATATTAAAATTAATGGAAAACTAACACAGAAGAAATCTCTAAACTTTAAATAAGGTACTAAGCCTGACTGGTGTATGAAAGTTAGTGTTAATCATTAAAATGCCCTTTCAGTGAACCTCTTAAAACATTTACTTCCCTCTTAGTCAAAGTAGCTTCCTAATGTTTAATAGTAAACACCTTGTATTCTTTTACAGAAATAATATTTTCCCATACAAATTACTCATATTTTGTATTAACTGAAGATATGACAGTGATTTGGAAAAAGAAGTCAACTTTCAATATTTCTAACAATGATACCACAGTAACATTCATTAAAAAAAGTTTGCTGTCATCAATTAAAATGGTGCCTAATTTACAACATTTGTATTTCTGAATGTAAATGGAGTTTTTAAAAAAGATTTTATGTATTTATTTGAGAGAGAGAGAGAAAGAGAAAGCATGAGAGGGGAGAGGGTCAGAGGGAGAAGGAGACTCCCTGCTGAGCAGGAGCCCGATGCGACCCCTGGCATTCCAGAATCATGACCTGAGCCGAAGGCAGTTGCTTAAGCAACTGAGCCACCCAGGCACCCTGAACGTAAATGGAGTTTTAAAAAATTTTAATACAGAGAATAAATTCTGCCCTTAGTTATGTACCTACAGTACTCTACAACAAATGGAATTTGAAAAACAAGTTCATTACTACAGAGGTTAGCAAGAGCCTCTGCCTTCCATACATATGTCTTATATGAGAAGAACAGAATTGTAAAATTTTTGCCCTCCTTATTGCTCATATGTCTTAAGTACAATCAAGCGGTTCTGAGGATAAAGGTGCTAAGAGAAAAGAATACAGGACAAGCTTTTATGCTAATAAACTGCTTTACCTTTTGCCTTGTTCAGTTGCTTCAAAACTATCAATTATTTATCATTTCCATGTGACTCAATAACTCTTTAAATAAACATAAAAATACTTATGATGAAAAAAGAGACATTCAACTAAAATTTACATCAAAAAGAGCTGCTTTGAGCTTTAAGAAATATATGCTAACATGTGAGTTAATCTGCTTCTTGCTGAGAGATAATTTTAAACCTCGGGGTGGTGAATTAAAATAAAATACGTTCTTTCATAATAATCTGTATAAGAGGGGCACCTGGGTGGCTCAGTCGGTTAAACCTTCGGCTCAGGTCATGATCCCGGGATCCGGGGATCGAGTTCAGCATCGGGCTCCCTACTCCGCGGGGAGCCCGCTTCTCCCTCTCCCTCTGCCTACTGCTCTGCCTACTTGTGTGCGCTCTCTCTCTCTCTCACTGTCAAATAAATAAATAAAATCTTAAAAAAATAATAATCTGTATAAGAATAACAAGAGTAGATTAGAATCCTGCTCTGCCCCTGATAGGCTGTGCACTCTAAGCAAGTTGCTTCTCTTCTCCTGGTACCAATACACACATCTGTAAAACAGTGACAATACCGTACACGTTTTCCTACAGTTGTTGTGAGACCTAACTTAAAGTATGTAAAGTGTTTTCATAAATCAGTGCTCGGTCAGTCAGGCTGCTCTTGCTGACTGCTATCGTTATCACGAGCCACTCGATAAAAACACTGAGCTGTCTCTTTGTACCTCCCGCAGCATTTCGTATTATATAGATCTCTTTCTGGCCCTCAGCTTTTTATTGGGATGATTTTGACACTTTATTTATTTTTTTTTATCAGCAGCACCTAAAAGAATGCCTGTCACATAGAGATGCTCCATGTTCACTGAAAGAATCAATAGTAAAGATTAAATTAGTGAGCCAAACAAAGAACATGTTTTTACTCTGTAAATTCATGCTTACTACAAGAGGTTACATTGTGACCAGACACAAACATACTCTTCCAGTTCAAGACATTTCTGGAGATTTGTTTATCCTTTATAAAGACAGAAAATTCACAGCTCTTGGAGTAACTCACATCTATCTCCAAAAGTGACTGTTACAACTGAATGGTTGGATGAAATTGTTTCTTGCTTTCGGCTCTTCCTCTGCCTTTTGTGAGACTGGAAAACAAAATTCACTAAGCAGACACATGCCTGTTTGTTTTGTTTCCAATGAACAATCATCTCTTCCTCCAGAATATTCACCTTTTTTTGGGAGGGGTGGAGAGGAGGGAGTCTTTCCAACCTAAGAAAATGATTTACAGAATGAAAGAACTACTTCCTCTCTTCATATAACACCATAGCCTTTCGCAGATGGCATTACTACTTTCTTCAAAGTAGAGCTGATGACAGATCTTCAAGATGCAGGGATGGGGTGGGGGGGTGCAGGGGGAGGAATTACTGTAAAATGGATGCCCTCAACCACCATCTACTTCCATACTATTTCTCTAACTTTTTTCTCCCCTGCTCTTCCTGTTTCACCTACTTCAAAAGTCTCTCTATTTCCGTGGAACTTCTTGAACTTGAGAGTTTATTTGACCACAGAGTTCAGAGGAATTCTGAAGAGGAACTTGAGCTTATTAATGCAATGACTACCCAATGTCACCAAGAAGATAGGGATGGAGCTGCTCCCTGGACCCAGGCCATCTGCATGTCTCTCCAGGGACCCCAAATTACTGACATTGTTAACCAAAAACAGAAGCTATACAATTTGCCTTTTGTTTTTTCTTTTTATGTTTTGCTTTGAATCTTTGATTTCTCTCCCCTAACCATTGTACTGTGACTTCATGCATAACATTGAACATTTTTAATTCCCTGTGAACTATCAATTCCTACATAAATGATGCAGTCTAAAAAAGTGTACAGGGTTTACAGGATGTGTCCTATAAATATCTTAAAACTTGAAAGTGGTGGAATGTCTATTAAGCTTTTATTACATTATACATAGACATATAAGTTTTACACTAGTTCCTGTCTATACTGCTTAAATTTTAGAGATGTTAAAAAACTGCTAATGGGTACATTTAAGGCTGTTCATTTGGAAACAGGATATGGGTTTTAGGGCAGACTGAAGTGCACCCACTGAACGATATGGCCCTAATTTGTCAGTGCGTCAAAGTGAAGGCTGAGTCCCAATCTCTAGGAGTCACTCATTTCCAGTGCCAAGGTAATGACTCTAGGATCTATTTTTACTTTTTAAAACTTAACTCTTGATAGCCCACAAACCTCTGCCACTTTGCCTTGTAGACAGTATTAAACAGTGATCGAAGCTTCCAAAATTTTGTATTTCTGCTTAAAAAGGATTGCCTGAAATGAAGACTTGTATTCTGCATGGGTTGAAATGCAGGATGGTTTTCTGGGTGGACTGGCTCTCACGAAGCCCCTCCTCCCATGAAAAACACTCAGCGCCGCCCTGACTTAAGACAAGCACATCCTAGAAGCAACTGCTGCTCCCGGGACTGAGGGAGAATCTGTCGTCTCTGACGCGACGGATGCTTCTCAGTGCAAGTGAGCAACTTCGCTTGGGGAAGCGGGATGATGTCAGCACGAGAGATTTCATGAATCGATGCGGGGAAACAGACCAGATGAATTCCAGCTTTTCAGCCAGGGGGAAAAAAAAAATCACACACATGGCACAAAAACATGACACGGCAGAAAGTTCATCCGACCTCCCTTGCCAGATCAAGACTTACCCAATCACAATCAGCCCCAGGCCTGGGCTCGCGTCCCCGGGTCTGGGCCCCGCGCCCCGAGGCCTGGGCGCCTCCGGGCGCTGACACCCCGCGCGAGCCCCCTGCA